TGCTAGCCCATAACTCATTTTCGTTTAGGATTACTATATTAATAGGTTACATAAAAGGATCCAATGTTCAAAATTTATACTTTTGTCGTGAAATAATCTCATTTAAGATGGTATCCATCACCAATTTCTAATTATATCTTTTTTTATTTACACCTATATATTAATTATTTTTTGAAATTCAAAAATTGGTTATTTGGAATGTTATATTTTAAATCCCTTATTCGTTCCTCCACGCCTAGGACAAGAGAATATCAAACTATGAACCAAGAAAGGCATGAGAGAAAAACATATTGGTTAGTGATTGTGAGGTCCCAATTCTTGATTGGAGGGGACACCAAAGGCCTCTGCCCTTCCATCCCTTGGATAGATAGAGAGGGAGAGCAGAGCTTTTTTTGGTTTTTTCATGTCGTCAAAGAGTTGAAGGATGATTTTTTCGTGTGGTCAAAGAGTTGAACAATGAAAATAGATGACGAGTGCCTAATCGAATTGATCGGAGACTTTCCAAAAATAAAAGTTACCAAAATTCTCCATTATTGCAAATTTTCGAAAAAAACCTCATCCTTCCGCCGTTTCTTCTTCCTCTCTCGTTTGCTCTCCTTCCACAAACACCATTGTTTCCGTTCGTTTGAGTTTCTTCTCCGTCGCCAGAGTAGACGGTTATAGCTTCTTCTTCGTCGTTGGTCGCCCGTCGACCATTCGAGCACTCCATTTATCCCGAGGTTTGTTTAGTTGCCGAATAGAAGGCCATAGTAAACCATAGCTAGCAATAGCATTCCGGAGCAGATCGTTCAAGCTTCTTCTTCGTCCCCAGTCACTCGTCGATCGTTCGAGCCCTCCATTTATCCCGAATATTGTTTAGTCGTCGACCGGAAGGTTTGTTTTGTCTCACCATGATATATTTTGCATACCAATATCTTCCAAGTTTTTTATTTCTGATTTGAACAATGATGAAGACCCTTGATTTTTTTGTAATGTTTAACCCCTTTGAAACCTCCTTTTGTGATGGTACACATAAGTATTAGTTGATTTCACAATGATATATTTTCTATACCCATATATATTCAATGGGTGTTTTCGATTTCTGATTTTGTGTGTTGTTTTGAACAATATTCCCTCTATTTTGGTATTGATTTTTGTTTCCCTCTATTTTTTTTTGTACGGTTTAACCCTCTATTTTTGTACGGTTTAACCCTCTATTTTTGTACGGTTTAACAATAAAGTTTTAAAGATTCAAATATGATTTGAGTGGTGCAAAAATTAGGTGTGAATTATTGTACAATGTAATATATATCTACAACTAAGTACCAATTTGGTAGTTATAGGAACTCAATTGTCGGATATATTTTATATTGTTTAAATAGTTGTGTAAAATCTTGTATATCTTCAATGAGTATCTCTCATATATACTACTAAGTCCTGTACTTTAGCAAGTTTTACTTAGAACTGGAAGGTGGGAAGATTTCATTTACATATCATTAGAATATTAAAATGAATAAATATATTATAAAATGGTCATTGGATTATATTATATAATCTAATGGTTGGAGGAGTACATGTATACCATACAATTGAAAAAACAACGATTCCCAGGAAAAAGCGCTAAAAAAAATAATGAGAGAAGAAAGATAATTAAAATATGGAAATAATATTTTGGAAGAGTATATTTTTATCATACTATTAAAAATAAGACATCGAACCAAAAAATTATGCAAGAACAAATTTGAAATTAAGATTAAGGCAAAGATGGAAAAAGGGAATAGAAAAAAATTTGTTATAATTAGATGGATATAGAGAATCTGATTCATTAGAGAAAATCAGGGAAAAAATGGAATGAGATCAAGTGAGAATAAATATAAAAGATTTGAATATATGATGTTTAATACGTAGAATCCAAATATGAAAACTTTTGAAACCTAATTAAATCTAATTATTCCCTATAAATTCGAATAATAGAGATAGGATACATAGGTATATATATTATATTCATAATAAGAAGTAAATCTGTAAATCTCGAGATTATGAGAATAATTGATTTGAAGCCACAATGATTTTATGTTTAGAAAATTCGAACATTAAATCTTTTATATTTAAATAAGAAAAACTAATTATAATAAATATAAATGCTATAAATAAGTATAAATTTGACATTTGGAAAATATTTTAAATCCAAAAATCTAAAACAGTAAAATTTGTAAATATTAAATATTTGTGAAAATAAGTTTCCATCCAAAACATTATCTGTTTATTTTGGAGATAATATCTTCGAAGGTCTGTTAGACCCCTACAAGCCCAACCCAAGCCCATCAATTGCCCAAGATAGGCATAAATTACACACCCACGTTCCCACGAGTCCAGCCATCCAAAGCACTCCACCCGCTAACCGACGCCGTTTTGCCTCTCTCGAACATGTCTCAATATGCGTACCAAAACAAGGCTCTAGCCTCTACGTGTCGATACCAGCGGAAATATGCAACTTTCAAGTTTATGAAAACAATAAAATATCCATGAATATTTTATGAAAAATTAAAAAAAWATATATATATATTAACACAAGTATTTTTTTTAAAATAAATTTAAATTTTTAAAAATTTTAAAGGAACGATAGATTAAAAAGAAATAAGACCACTAAAGGTCACATTATAAGAGTGGTGACCACTAGGGGTGATCATCGGTCGGTCATGGTCAATTTTTGGCCACAACCGATGTCGAACCGTTAAGAACCCACGTTGAAAAGAGATGAGATCTAACATAGGTTTATAATAGACATGAACTACTCCTGCCATTGTCAATTGGTTTTGAGATGAAACCTGGTATCCGAGCCAAAAACGCTTTATGTCGATTTTAAAAAAATGGAAACGGACTACTTTTATTTCCTCCATGAATTTTGATACGTCGATTTTCAAAAAATGGAAATAGACTACTTTTATTTCATTCGTTGATCGGTCGATTTTTCGGCTAAAAGCCTTAAGAAAAAAAGAAAAAAAAAGTGAAACGGTGAAGGAAAAGAAACAAGAAGAACAATGTTGAAGAACACAGAAAAAATGCTAAAATGAGAAGAGTCATGCTACTTACTTCCGGAAAAAAAACCACAAAAGAACCAAAACAAAACAAAGAAAAACACCAAAAAAAAACTAAGTAGTTGGACCGAGAGAAAAGACACACTTTTCATTGGAGGAACGGAGCAGCCATTGGCCACCCCCTTCCCATTTTTGGCTCTAATTCCTATGAAAATAATCTATCTTCTCGAAGAGGAATGAAATATTAAAATTTTTTCAATTAGGTTCACATTAATTATAATATTTTCTTATATTTTATCCACTTCTTCTACGATATAATCTATTCATCTCTTATATCTATGTTAAACCTTACAAAATATCAACAAGCAGCCAAGTGGATCAAGGCAGTGGATTGTGAATCCACCACACGCGGAATTTCATGTTAGAAATTTAATGTCTTTACAAAAATGTCACAATTTTTTTTTCCAAATATAGCATTAACTTCGTTTTAGTGGCCAAAGCGAGCATAGCTCAATACTAAAAAAAACTTCGTTTTAGTGTATTTTTCATAATCATATTTGAGATTGAGTTTATTGTGGATTTTGTTTAGTATGTTACTTTTGTAAATTTTCGTACATTTTACTCTCTCTATATATATAACCTGAGCAAGCTCAACTAATTAAGACATATATTTTCTATTAAAAGATCGAGAGTTCGAAATATCTCAAATTTAATCTCTTAATTTGATGCAAAGTATTACAAGCAAAGATGTGGCAGATGGGTTTGAGGCATGGCGGAGGGACTGGAGGAGGATTTCAAATGGGTGCTGCATGAGGGTGGAAGGCTAAGTAAAAGTTGGGGATGAGGGTTCGAGAAGGTTCGGTCTATGGCACGTGATTAGAACCAAGTGAGGCTTATGCAGAGAAGACTCCATGCCATAGACTAAGACAGAAAATGAAATCGTGTCAAATTTAAGATAAAACTTAGGTATTTACCGGTAAGTAGGTATCTTCACATTTACCATCGTTAAAGAATATTCTTTTTCTTTTCTATGCAGGTCATTTTTTCAATAGAAGATACCAATAGAACGATCCTTCCATAGAAATTCTTACTTCCCACCCTCAAGTTTTTGACTGAAATAAATATTTCTCGTTCATCCATCAACCCAAAGAAATTTCTCGTTATACACCATTAAATCTCCCTCTATAGAAACTTAAAATGGTAGGTACCAAACAAGAATTTCCTGCTGCTACTCAGGAGTAAAAAAGTATTCTATTTTGTCCACCACTAAATCTTTTAAAGGTAGGAAAGAGAAATGCAGATAGTAAACGGATGAGAGATCTTTTTCTATTTTCCCAAGAAAAAAAGAAAAAAATTTGTTGAAGACTCGAGAAAATCTAACTGTTCAATCAACTTGAAAGTATTACACTTTAATTGGCCTAGTTTTTCCTTCTAAATGAAAAATCCTCCAAACAAGTAGTAAAAGTTTAAAACATATATGAAAATTCAATATTTAACAGGAAGCTCTATTTCAATATACAGCTTCTACAGGAAGCTCTATTTTATTTCATTCTCACCATTGATTGATTGGATCTATTGCCTGATGTGTAGAAACCCAAACTCACAATGAGGTTAAAAAGTTATATATATTATGAGATATATCACCGAAAATGGTATAATTGAAAAATGTTATATCATGTGGTCTGAGATGTTAAACAAAATATATTTAATATGGCCTACAGGTTTTCTAATCCTCCGAATTACGTAAGCCTTTACTACAAAAAATCAGGCATCTAAAACAGTAAAACTCATCACTCAACATTCTCAATTTCAAGCTATAAATCCAGACTTCCAATCTTGCCGGCTCACACACATTTAGATTAAATTTCAAGGAAGGTACCACTTAGAATTTGGACAAAATTAAGGTTGGACAGGACAAACTTCTCTTAGGTTAATAAATATGGATAGTAAAAAAAGAGAATTCTAATTAATGTTACCAAAATCTCAGCCTATTTACAAATGATTAACCATACAAGTGTTGGGATAAATATGAGAACAAAATTAGCAACTTTTTTCTCTAATGCAAGATGAGTTGAAAGGTTAACTGAATATGTAGATTGTAGAATGAGGACTTTACTAGGAAGTTGGTGATGGCTCAGGTAATTGGTGAAAAAGGAGAACCAACTGGAGCTGCAAGCCCGAGGTACCGCATTATCCTCATTCGGCGAATTTTTCTTGTTGATTTAAGAGAAATGGTCATCTCTTCCTACAGACGAAAAACGTTTAATCAAAATCTAAAACATAACTTTTTAGTGTTTTCCATGCATTGGCAAAAATTTTGAGGCAGCAACTTACATCGAATGGAACTTTTGGCTTTCTTTCCCTTTTTCCCCTTCCTCTGGCAACGTCAAGGTCATTATCCTCAATCTGGCTTGAGTTTGATGAAGACCCTTTGTCTGCTTAAAGAAAACAAGGTCCAAAACGGGAAGGTATAGATGAAGGAAGTGAGTACAGATTCACACGCCTAAGAGTTGGGAAAATTATGTTACTTTTAGACATCGAGTATTGAGTTTAGAAGTTAGTGGACAATCTTTGAAACGTATAATCAGCTCCAGCATAAAATGAAGCAATAAGAACCCAAGGAACAACGTGATGTAATGCATTGTCTTTGAAAGCATTGTTACCTCTCACACAAACATGTTAACACATTTCTTCAAAGGAGATAATTCTGTAGAACATGAAATCCCATGTTGCAAAATGGAAGATGCTGTGTACATGTTTCTGGGCTTAATGATCAAGAATAGTTTTCTTTCTATTTCACAAAGTGTAGTGTTTTTGGCAGGATAAGTAATCTCCAAGATAATTTTTGGAAACAAAATGGCAGATATTGTTATTGAAATCAAGCGCATACCGAATGATTGATCTTGACACTCTACTGTTGTGTTTGAACTTCTCTCCTCGAAACACTGAAGGCAATGCCATGTACAGAGTTATAACTAAGCTTAGACATTTAAAGGAAAAGTAGAAAGGGTGGATATTTTCTTAAATTGGAAAATGAAAATCACAATATACAACTAATAAATTCAAGCTAAAAACGAATTGGTCAAATTTAATGACAAAGAATAGCACATTACTTACTTCATTAGACCACAACTGTTCATTCTCTGGAGTTGCAGAAAGACTGTTGCTTTCTGAATCTAGTAATTTCTTAGGAACAGGGTATGATATCTCAGAAGTACCTTTTTTCTTCCTTACAGCCTTGCATGAGCTGAAAAAGGATAATCAAAACAGTTAATAATACGAATAGAGAAAAGAGGATTGATAATGGATATTTATCAAGAGAACAGATTAACATAAAAAACACACCTATCACTGAGAGGGCATTCAACTGATTCAATTTCTACAGCATGAATTTCATCAGGACTTGAGCATTGGCTTAGTTCTTCCACGGAGGAGTTGCTGTATTTTACCAAAGAGCTCGAAGAGAGTTCTTCATTTGTATTATCTAAGTGATTCACGATCAATTCTGACGATCGAACTTCATTCAAGGACAATCTTCTTGGCAAGACAGCTGTGCCTAACATGTCCCCAAGAGTTCAGATTCAACTTCAATCATATAACGTGTAATCCAAATATATCATTGAGACATTTCAATTTTCAAAATATTATAGGGATAAGAAATCAAGAGACAAATGTCCAGCGTGTAGTTCAACGGGAAAAGGGAAACAAAATTAAAACTTGTGAAGTTGCTAATTTCTACACAGGACTTAAGGATCCAGAAACTTGTGTCACAATAAATGTCCATATAACAAGTAAAATAGGCAGTAATCAATAATTATCTTGATTCTTATATTGGATGATACAAGATAGACATAGATGCAGCTGGCTAATTTATCACTATAATTTCTATCACATTAACAACATTGAATCATATTTCACATTCTGCTAGCTAGCCTTGAGCCACTATTGATTTCAACTAAACTACTGGTGCTCACAAGGGCGAACCCAGAAATTTTCAGAGAGAGGGTCAAAGTTTTACATTCCAACTTTTTATATAATAATCTTACTCTTCTGAAACTTGGGGAAATTAAAGAGAAACATTATAATTCTCTTTTATATTATTTTTTCATCTAAAATGAACCAAGAGAGGGGACAAACTTCCTTCTTCACTCTGCAGGCAGTGGGGGGCATTTGACACTAAATGTTCGATTTATCAACTTAAACAGTTACTAAAGTGCAAACAAATAGAACTCAAAACTTGCTAATTTCACATTTTTTATAGTTTCATCAGGTTCAACTCCACCAGCAGGATGACCGACGAGAAATCTTGCCCTCCATTTTCCACTGTTCCCGAAATTGTGAGTGTAATTTTTTTCTGGGAGAGTTTACGGTGCGTGAATGGGGAATTGATTAACACATATTTATGGGCATTAGAACTGAAAATACGCACGATAACATGAATCACTCTAAAACTAACATTTTTCTCAACAAGAACTAGATGAAAATACAGGGTCAAGAAATTAATGTCTAGCAATCTCCACAACATGAAAGTCAAACCATTAAATTAAACAGAAAATAAAGCAATATCCCGCAATCAAAGATAAAAATTCGATGACAATCAAAGAACTAGTATGGAAACTCAACAATAAAAATCAATCACTATGCCAGAGAGATCTCAGGCGATACAATGGCACTAGATATCATCAATCCCAGGATCAAACCCAGTACACAAGCAAATTCCAAAAACCAATCACAAAATTAGGGAAATTCATACAGATTCATAAAAAGAGGGGATAAATTAAAAAATAATAAAAAAGAAACCTCGATGGGCAATAGAAGAGGAAAAGCAGAAAAGGGAGGAGAAATCAGTGCGGCGTTTTGGCGGTGAGCTTCTGCGCTGTTGAGAATACTTGGGTATGTTATCAATAATCCGTGCTTGTCTTTCGCCCTTCTTCCTCTCGGGCGTCTTCCTCTTCTTCGCCATTGTCAACAATTGGGGAAACCCTTAAAAAAAAAAAATTGAATTCTTGAGGAGAAGAACGAACCCTAGAAGAACAAGTAGAAGAACCGGATTGTTTCGTAGTGGATCCGAATGAGGAAAATGAATGGGGCACCGACGAGTTCCCAATTCGTATAGCAATGGGCCATTTTAAATTACGAACTCTCTGAAATCACAGCAAGACGGTGGGCAGTCCAATATCAACGAAAATAACTGATTTTTTTTCCCACACACGATGCAATAATTCATATATACAGCTTAGTTCTATCTTCACTGAATTTCATAATTCATAAACACGTTGCCTTCACATTGGACTTCTTTTTCCTGTCCCATTGTGATCCTTAATTTTTAGTTCTATAGTGGATGTTAGTTGTAATTAAGATAGACGATACAATCTTACGAAAACTCAAATAGTTTGAGAGTGTTTGTTGCATCATGAAAATAACTTTAAACAAAAGTGTGATATTGTCTTATACTACAAGTAATATCTTAAGTAGCAAGGGCATCTTTATCCCACGTAGATAACGATTAAATCTCGTATAATGTCACACTAGCTCATCAATATGAAATAAAATGTTGTACTTTAAAAACTTATATTCACTTTTTTCCTAAAGGGAAAGGAGTAGCCTAAAGACTCAATAGGAAAAAGTTATTAAATCTCACTAACACCACGCGACATACATTTAATAACCATATCACTCTATATTTTCATCCGCTTGAATCTCTGATGAACCTCTTCAGTCTATCCATCTTCGACACATCTCCCACTATCATATATATATATATATTTTACTGCATATGCAAGATTGTTGAAAGAGCATTTACGATGATTAAATAAACAGACCCTAAACTGGTGAGCAAATTCCACTAATTCATTATCTAACCATCATCTCTAATTTCTCACGTTTGCCACAAATCAATAAGTTGAACACTCTTCTCAAGTTTAACCAACACATTTGGTCTCAACTTAGGCTCGTTAAGTTAATCTAGTGAAGTATTGAATATATAACTAATTATCAAGTAAAATTAAGTGGGTATAATTTATGTTAACTTATAAGAGCTAAATTAGTTCAATGTACGAAAAAGTTTCACTCTTTTCTTGTTGGTTGACTTTCATCAAAAAGAGTGTTCACTCATTTTTTGGATCCTTCAAAGAGCCATTTTCTAAGAAGCTCTAGACAAGATGATGATACGTTCCTAACTCACGAAATTAATAGGTAGTTGAGATTACTTTTGGTTAAGTTTTTGTTTGTTGTAGCTTTGGTCAAGGGTCTTATCAGACTGCTTTATTTCATTTGATTACCCATGCTTATTCAAAAGCGTGAGTAAAATATGACCAATCAATAAATTTGAAATCGAATATTTTCCTTCTATATTCTCTTTCTTCTTTATTTAATTAAAGTTTAAAAACATTCTAAAGAACAATCTAATCATATGTCTATCATGGTACAATTCATTATCCTCAGCTCAATAATAGAAATTGAAACTTGCCTTCCTATGAGTTATTATCCGACCTTTGAAATCCTCACCCTTTTTTGCTGAGCTAAAAATGTAAAAATATAAATAAGTTAAAAAACATGTTTGATCCTACTGTAAATTTTTTTTTTTCTTTTAGCCCATTAAAGTAAAACTTTTAGTTTCTTACATTTCAAAAATAACAATTTAGTTATATTTTAAACATATATTCAACTATTATACGTGGTTAAAATAATGTGGTTACTAATTTTATCTAATTAGATCTATGGAGAATTTTTTTTAAGAAGTATTTTGAAAATGTATTCAAATATATATATTTTTTTTACTTCTAGGCATAGGAGAACTCAAACTTGGATCATGAGTGTCAACATCTAAATCTCTTGCCACTCCGCCAACATCCAATATATTCAACTGTTATTTAAGAATAACAAGCCGCCACGCTTAATCTATTTTTCCTATAATACACAAATATAGTTTTAAAAACACAATAAATAGAAAAAGACTAAGAAGGAGTGACCATCTTTGATAGGTTTTCAATCTTCTTTTTTGTAGTTCTTCCCTCCCGATGAAACTTATATAAATATATATTTTCCATCTTCCCAAAATTAAATTCTTTCCTTTACAAATTCAGTTTCCCTTTATACGTACAGGCCTTTCTTAGAGACTATGTATTGATTTAAATATAAACAAATTTCAGAGATTGAAGTAAAAAGAAACACTGCAAATAACTCTTTATAAAATTATTTCATTGCATGTATGTTATTCTTATTCTTGTTATTCTTTTTCTTATTTCTTGTTTCTTCTTCTTCTTCTTTTTTTTTTTGCTAATAAATAAAAATAAAACTGATTCTGATCATTATTTTTCTTTTTATTGAAAAAATAAAAAATAAAAATATGTTTTCAATTTTTATTCTCTAGAATCTTATTTATAATTAAAAGATTAAAATTCTTTAATATTTATTAGGTATTTTATAAGTCAATAAATAATGATAAACTAATATTTTGTTGTTCTATAAAAAACTTGAAAATAGATAAACGTTTGTTCCAAAATTTCAAAAAAAAAAAAAAATCTTAAAAGTTTATAAATAACTAGAAACATAAACTTCTGCCAAAAACTCTGGTGCAATTTCTTGGTGATTTGTTTTCCGTATTTTCAAGCATTTGTTTAGTAGCAGATTTGGTAATTAAATTTTAACTTAAAACATTGGTTAAAATATATTTGCAAAGAGTGATAGTTACCCAAGTTTAATCTAAAATAATATTAATTAATTTATCAACACTTTTTGTTATAAATTTTGTACCATTTTATTTTAAAATGTTATATAATTTATAATATAATTTTACCTGTTTTATTTTTAATAAAAATAAAATTAGTTTATAAACTAATATATTTATCAAAAGTTTTTTTTTTTAATCTTTAATTATACATTTGTTTTCAAAAACAAATGTGCCCTACCAAAAGCATTTCTGATCAAGATAAAAACAGGTTGCTAACCAAACAAATCCTTATATTCTTAAAAAAACTGGAAATGAAAAACAAACAAGAACAATCAAGGGAAACATTATCAAACGGGATTAATTCAAATAATGGGACAGAAGATTACATTAATGGTATTAAAACCAGTGCATCCGTAGGTGGGAGGAGAATTATCGCCGGGATACGTGTGGGCCAGAGCGCACGAATTCTTGAACGTCTTGGAGTATTGATCCGGCTGGCAACTGGGCGAGTTGCAGCAGTACTCCGGCGACTTCAAGGCGTCGCACGCGCTGTAGCAGCCGACGTACGCGCCGTCCTTGTTGGTGGCGACGAGCGAGGCCGGGCAAACGTTTCCGATGTTTTGGATGCAGTCGACGACGGGGCAGGGGCCGGAGCCGCCGTCGACGAGGTGGCCGCCGTCGGGCTGGATCCGGACCTGGATGTTGAAGCCGTGTTTCAGGCTCAGCTCGTAGTGGACCACGGACTGGTTGATGGCGAAGTTGAGGAGGGTGACCGGGAGAGCCGGTGGAGAGGAGTCGCAGATTATGTTGCCTGACCCGCAATCGCCGGTTTCGCAGGAGAACTTGAACGAGGGGTCGTTGGAGCACTTTGTGCGGGCCCAGATGCTGCCCGTCCACGTGTCAGGCATCGTGAACACCTCCAGCGTGTCCGGCGGACTCTCCGGGTCGGCGTCTCCGATCGACGGGTTCGCCGCCAGCCATATTGAATATGGGCATTGGTTGTCAAAATGGAAGATTACATCACAAACAACACCTTCAAAATATTTCCAACAAAATACTTAACTATTTTTTTTAGATCGAACCTCCGTCGTTGAGAGAAGGAGTACGTACCAATTAAAATATTTAACTATTGGTCGGTAGGGAGGATAAATAATAATAATATTTAGATATTTATCAACTCCGAGAGGATAAATAATAATAATATTTAGATATTTATCAACTAATTGTAAACCTTCTACCGACTGTCATTTAAAAAAATTGATAGACGATGGATACATAATAAAAATAATAGAAAAATAAATAAATTCTTGATTGTGTCCATTTTTAGTACAATATCTATGGACTATAAATACCTAAATATTATAAATTTCTTATAAATAAGAGAGATAAAAACAAAAAAATTCTAGTTTCTCTAAAAATAAATTATCAAATTTTTAGCCCCAATCACAAGAAAATTTACATATTAATATATTACAGTATAACAAAGTTTTTTATTTTTAAAATTTAAAATAATAAAGATAGAATAAATTTTTTCAATAGGATCTAAAATAGAAGGGCATATAGAACATGAAAAGAAAAGATATAAGGTAGTGAATTGAAATTAAATCACGACCAAATTTATAATAAAAGGATGGTTTGAATCATTATGTTCTCCATTACATAATTTTGTATATATTATGTATTATGTTGAAGCTACGTATTTCTCAATCATGGTTATTTGTTAATTTGCTATTTCAAGAGGTTATTTTTATTTATTTTGTGTATATATTTTACATTTGAAAGTAATTAATAAAGTTAAGAAGGTTATTTACATTTTCTGATTCAATATGTTATTCTTTATGTATGATGGAAAATGAATGATGAAACTTTATATTGAAATTAATCTATTAGAACTTAAAATGAAAGCAAATGGAAATGGAAAAAGAAAAAGAAAAAGGGTGAGAAATTACCTGCTGTGAGAAGGGAGAGTTGGAGGAGAAGAAGAAGAGAAGCTTTGGAAGCCATTGATATGCAGAGATGATCGAATGATTGTGGGAATTAGGTTAGAAGGAGAGTCAATTTATAGGGGAGAAAAACAGAAATGGAGTGTAAATTAAATTGAATTAAAGTAATTTCAATTGAAATTCTATAACTAATTCATTAAACCCTAAATGGAAAGTGAATGGTGCCTTTAATTTTTAACCAAAATATGCAATGAATCAAACCTATCCTAAATTCGAGAAGGAAAATAACCCCTATATTAATATTTAATTTTTGTTGTTATATTCCTCTCTTTTATACATGGTAAAAAATATATAGTGTAGGTCAAACTATAATTTTATTTAATGAGTGAATTTTACAAAATCTTTCTGGAAAAATGTTTTGATTTTTTTGAGCTAAATTAGTAGTTTTCCTCTGGTTTCAATTTGAACGGTTTAAAATTTTCTATTTAGAGTTTATATGGCTTGGTAAAAACTTCACAAATAATTATCGGGAAAATCGAGCCTAAATTTCGAATTAATCCTACCTACTATTTATCGTTACCATATTTATTATGTGTATGTTTGCAACAATTTACATGACAATGAGTTCATGTAATCTATTTGGTTAAATGTGTAACTATTAGTTACCGTGGTATATATTAATTAAGAGTTGTGATCGAGCATTAAAGATAGGGTGAAATGATGAAACTATAGAGACCAAATTAAAATAATTTTAATTATAAGAACAAAATTAAAAAAAAACTGAACCAAAATTATAAGGACAATTAGTGTAGCTAAACTTCGACCAAAACTTCCTGCCTACTACACAAAATTAACGATTCAATACTATTAAAAAAAGTAATTTAATATATATTTTTCCTTTTTTTAATAAAGATATATTTTTCTCATTTGATTTATATGTCGATTAATAGCAAAATAATTCAACAAAATCAGTTACAAGAAACATATTTGTAACAAGGTTAGTCCGAGTTTCGATTGTGATAGAAAACAGGCTTAAACTCGAATGAAAACAAAATGAAATAAAATACAGCAATAAATATTTGAGAAATTATCTTCAAATTTAATTCGTAATACAAAGTTTTTTATTTTAAATTAAAACATAATTTTAGTATATATCCTTTTAACCTTAAATTTATTTTTTTTAATCCACATATTTTAAATTTTTTTTTATTATCATCATTATGTTTCGACTAAAACTTAACGAAGCACATGTATGTGTTAGTTGTTGGTGAAAAGTACATATACACACATGTAATTGTAGATCTGTTTCTTTTTTTTTTCTTTTGAGAACAATTGTAGATCTGTTTAATGAACTTGATTATATTATATTTTGTTTTGTGAGTGTTGGGTTTGTAAAGAGTACAAACAAAGTCTCATATTAATTAGGGAAATAGGTGATTCATGGTATATATAAAGAAGGACAATTATCTTCGTTGGTACGAGACTTTTTGGATGGAACCAAAAGCAAAATCGTGAGAACTATGCCCAAAGTGGATAATATCATACCATTGTATCGATACTCGATATATAAGGGGTACCGTTGCCCCCATGTCACTAGAAGTTCAAAATATTTATTTTTTATGGAAAAAAGAGGGATAGTTTTAGGCTAATTTTGTTTTCTGAGAGTGCAACAAATAAATAATACTTTATTTGGGTTTTTGTAACTGTTTTTAGGGTGTGATAGTGAATTATTGTAATTTTCTACCAATGGTAAAAACGTGGAGTAAAATTTTAGTTGGAGGTAAGAATGATAGTAGAATTTTAAAAAAACACCAAGACCAAATTGAAAAATAATGTTAAATTATAACTACTCAAAAGGTAAGTGAATCTATATTTAAACAAACTATAATATTTAATCATCAATTTTTACTACTGTGAAGTCTCTACACATGTTTCTAATATGTCGTTTATGTCTATACATATACTTTCTACACTTTTTCAAAACATTTTAATAGATCCCTAAAACATCAATTTTGTGTCGGACTAATTTCTATCATTGACACTCCATTTAACTTATACCACCAAATACATAAACATGTCTAAAATCAATTTGTCATGTTAATTTTTAAATAATACATTTGACATGTCACATAAGCATTATACTCGTGAAGTCAACAATACGGATTTATTAAACATAAAATTTAACGGGATGGATCGACTGGTTTAGCTTCATTGAATTTCAACCACATAAGGTGATGACATATAATTTGGGCTATGATTGCACGGTAAAAGTGTTGTTCTTGTAAAATCATAATTTGGGCCATTAACTCGAATTCGCAACATTATTTATATTCTTCTAATTTAATTTGCCTCCAACAATTACTAGGACAGTAGCAAAACTCAATAATTTTTACTTTGTAATTAGAAATTTATTCTCATCTTTGATTTACTTAACACAAGACCCTCAAGTTACAACATTATTACATCATATTCATATAATTCTTGATATACCCAACACCCTACTGTGTGCTTTATTGCTTAATTAATACTTTTTTTCAATGGCAACTATGATGAGCCAGTGGCTTGATTAACCGCAGAAGGTAATGACATAAATTGGGGCGATTGTTGCACGTAAAAGTGCCGTTCTTATCATCATATGCGTAACTGTAAGCCTCAGGGCATTGCCTCTCAAAAATCAAAGAGTAATTTGTTGGCTTGCACTTGTCCGGGTTGTTGAATTCTCCAGTGCAGCAGTAGCGAGGCTGGTTGAATGCCAAGCAAGCGCTCTTGCAAGCGATCACCTCGTTCCCGGACT